TGAAAAAGCTTCTTCCAGGTTTGAGAAAATATCAGACTGTACCTCAGAAGAGAAGGCACCTGTACCAAATTCAACCAACTGGGAAGCGCCAAGAAGTAGGTTAGGAAGCTTCTCAAGGGGAACAGAATGATTGAGCCGAAGAGTCCTCAAATTAGGAGAGCGAGCAATCAGACGCTCCAGATCTGAGAAGCTGACCTCAGAACCCAAACAAGAAATGTTAAGTGAAACCAGTGAAGTACAGCTATCAGGAAAATAACTGAGCCAATCGCTACTTAGGTCCTCCACTTCACTTTCTCCCAAGTCCAGTTCTCTCAGATTTCTGCAGCACATTGTGAGTTGCATGAGAATATGGTCCAAAGAATCCGAATAACAATTTCAAGAAAGGGGACTAGAATAAAATCTAAAAGTCAAAAGACACAGGAGAATTGAACTGTCAGAACAAGTATATTTCCAGTACTCCGTTTCCTAAATTCTCCAATTAAGCATGTTACATTGAACCACAGTGGCATCCAATTTTTTTTTTCCTTTTTGAAGTAGTATTAGCACCGCGGATGTACTCCATTATAAGCCCCGACCAGATATAACACGGTGGCTCCAACCAAAGCACCATAAATAAAGAAACGGAAGCTAACTAAAGGAGGATACTTTTCTCTAAATATGAACTGCATACTTAATCACTGTGTGTGCAACAGCACATACAGAGTAGCAAGTTCAGCATTACATGCTTTTATGAAATCAACTAGTTTGCATTTCCATAATAAAGCTTCAGTGACAACTGGGATGCAAAAGGGAAAATTTGACTGGAACAAATGAAAGACCTTTTGATTCTCTGCTCAACTAAACATAGGCGCGTAACAGCACAGGCATAGAACCTACTAAATACTAACAAACAAACAAAAGATTTTGAACTTCACGGTAAGAAAATCAGATCCATATTACCCACGGAGCAAGCAACATTTAACCATGATTCATTCTGTAAATTTAGGAAAAGTGAATAATGCAAGTCCTTGTCCTGTTAAAAAAAATATCAATTCCTCTACAGTGTATTCTCAGTAAAATGAAAAATTAAAGACAAAATATAAGCTTTGTTATTTTCTTGATTGATAAAGGTAAAAGGTCCAATTTGCCCTTGTGTTTCGCCAAACGGTCTAACTTTAGCTCATCAATATCCTCGTTGTTACAATTTTGGCTCGAAATTGTCCTTAATCACTAAATGGTATGTGGCGGAATCCAACCTATAAGTTCAAATCCTGAACTCGAACTCATAAGTTCAAATCCTGGACTCACCACAGAGTCAACATTGACCAGAAAAAAAGGTTCAAATTTGAAGTCAATGCAACCACAAACGAGCTACCAGAAGCACAAAGTTTAAAACTTTATTCTCCAGGTAAGAACTAACATACTCATCAGTAACTTTTAAAAAAAGCCAAAAAGGTAATCTGACGTGTACTATACCAAAAAAATGACACGTAACAGAAATCTGACCTGCAGTTAGCAGCAATTGCAGCAAGTCCATCAGTAGTAAAGCCTTCACAAGACAACAACACCAACACCTTAAAATGCTCAAACGAAGTAGAAATCAACTCCAAAGACTCATCACTCACAACCATTCTCTTAAGTCTAATCTCCTCAAGCATAGTATAAGTCCCCGACATTGCAGCAATCCAAGGTTGTACATACGCACCCCAACCTTCAGGTACTAGATTAAAGTCCGCAAAATGTGGCTTCCCTTTCAGCTTCACGGATCTAACTTCAGTAGGGAACCGTCTGATCATAATTTCAGGGCTAACGGCGTAGCAGTTTCCTATGAATACTTTCCTCCTGCACCGCCTCTCAATCTCGTACCATGATTTGCACACTAAGGATATACTGTTCAGGTCCTTATCTGAGGTTAAAAACGAGAACAGGTGCTTTAATACTTCTTCTGGAAATGATGAGGACGCCATTGCTGTACGGAGCGGAGGTCAAAAATGGAATTTTTTTTTACTGGCTGAGTAGCTTGCAACAAATCTTCTCTTTGTCTGAGGAGAACTGTAACGAGTGTTTTGTACTGCAGAGAAGCGAAGATACGTGCCTTTTATTACGTCAGGATGTTGGAAAATGGAGAGTTAAGTTAACCAGGGTTAGGAGCTTCAGATCTGAATCAGACATTAATCAGGGTTAAGTTGAGTTGTCGGTAGGGAGACAAGTACTGTCATGTATCGGAACTGTCACATACTCACATGTTATTGTGGATATAGTTGTTGGGAAATTCTCGCAAGTTTAAAACTAATAAGTTTTAATTTTAAATAAATATTACTTCCTTCATTTTTATCCATATGAACATAGTATTTGACTTGATAAGAGTTTAAAAAAAGAATAATTTTTGAAATTTGATATATTAAATATGCTATAATATTTGTGTGTCGTGCTCATCAAAAATACAACGACAACATACCAAGTATAATTCTACATAGTGGGGCCTAAGAAGATTAGTGTTGAGAAACGTGTCAGGCTAATAGAAGGAAAAAATATTTAAAAGAGAAAAACAATAAATTGTACAAGACAAGACAAGAGAAGATTTACGTGTTTCGATAATTTTTGTCTACTCCACGGTCACACAAAGAATAACTATTTATTAATTGAAGAGATAAAGAAGATGTTGAGGGATGATTTGCAAATGAAAATGCATACCCCTTTTATAGGCATTTGAATGTCCTGCCGACGTAAGCTCTTACATCATAAGAATGTCGATGTAAGCGCGTACATCATAAGAATGCTGATGTAAGCGCATACATCATAAGAATGCCGATTAAGCGTTTACATCATAAGTTCATCTCTTTTTTATTTTTTTTTATTTTGTTTTGTCTACTTTTCTTTCTTTCACATACAACAAGTTTGCTACTATCAATCTCCCCCTCAAACCTGTGTTACGTCAGGAAAGAAATAGAAAAAAATTGCTATTCTCTGGTGGCGCCTCCACGCTATAAGTCTTGAAAGCTAATTGAGACAGTGCACAGCCTTAGTTTGTCAACACCGACAACTTTGGTCAACATGTCTAACGGGTACTTTGATCCTAGTATCTTCTGCAGGGAAAGGGTCTCTTCACTTTTCAACTCTCGGATATGATGATACCTCAACTGGATATGCTTCGATCTTTGTATGAAACACTGGATTCTTGGCAAGATGAATTGCACTCTGGCTATCGCTGAAAAGCTCACAATTGTCCTGCTATTTACCTAGCTCTTTAAGAAAATTATTGAGAGAAATCATCTCTTTTCCAGTTTCTGAGATTGCCATGTACTCTGCTTCAGTGGTAGATAGAGCAACACTTTTCTAAAGTCTGGACATCCAGCTAACAATAGTACCACCCAATGTGAACACGTAGTTTGTAGTACTTTTTCGACTATCCAGATCGCCGCCTAAATATGCATTAGCAAAACCTTGTAAGATAATATTGCTCCTTTTAAAACAAAGTGTCATACCTAAGGTGCCTTTGAGATATCGCAATATCCATTTTACACCTTCTCAATGCTCCTTTCCTGGATCTGACATGTATCTACTGACAACTCCAATTGCATGGGCTATGTCAGGTCTAGTGCAAACCATATCATACATCAAACTTCCTACTGCTGAAGCATATGGAACTTTGGACATGTACTTCCTTTCTTCATCTGTCTTAGGTGATTAGTCCTTTGACAGATTAAGATGGCTTCCGAGTAGAGTGCTTCTGGTCTTTGAATCATGAAGACTGAACCTGCTTAGTACCTTACGTATGTACTTTTCTTGAGACAATTATAAGGTTCCTTCAGACCTGTTTCTGCTAATCCTCATCCCAAATATTTGCTTAGCTGGTCCTAAGTCTTTCATTTCAAACTCCTCCGCCAGTTATTGCTTAACCATGTTGATCTTATTTATGCTAGATCCTGCAATTAGCATATCATCAACGTACAACAGTCAAATAATATAAGATTTATCAAGATTTTTGATATAACAACAATGGCCCATCTCACATCGTGTGAAACAATTATTATGCATGAATCCATCAAATTTCTTGTACCATTGTCAGGGTGCTTGTTTCAAACCATACAAACTCTTCGTCAACTTACACACAAGGTTTTCTTTACCAGAAACTTGAATACCTTCAGGTTGCTTCATGTAGATGTCTTCTTCAAGGTCACCATGCAAGAAAGCAGTTTTAACATCTAGCTGCTCCAAATGCAAATTTTCTGCAGCTACGATACTTAGCATCAACCTGACAGTAGTTAATTTGACTTCAGGAGAGAAGATCTCGATGTAGTCAATCCCTTCCTTCTGCTGAAAGCCTTTTACTACTAATCGTGCTTTGTATCTCTTCTTACCATCATGCTCTTCCTTGACCCTGTACACCCACTTGTTTTGCAATGCTTTCTTTCCTTTTGGTAACTCTGTAAGTATCTATGTCTTATTCTTTTGAAGAGAATTCATCTCTTCTTTCATGGCTAGCTTCCACTTATTAGAGCTTATCACCTACATTGCTTCAACAAAATGCTATGGTTCTCCAGCATCAGTCAGAAGTAAATAGTGGAGAGAGAGAGAGTTAACATATCTGTAGCATCCGTGACTCTTTTAGATCTCCTTAATGTAGGTTCATGATTAACTAATCCCGAATTTGATTCTAGTCCTGACTCCAGATCTGGTTCTCCATATGATTCTATCTCTGGTTCTGGTTCTGATTCTGATCCAGATTCTGCTTCTAGTTCGGCATCTTCAATTTCAGATCCAGTTGTAGTCTATCTAGCTACTTCATTTTCTGAGATTTCTTCTAACTCAACTGTTTTAGATGTTTGTCTGTTGGTGCTGGTTTGTTCTACTTCAAGTTTGTCTTTGTACATCACATTTTCATTAAATGTGACATCCATGTGTCTTAGGATCTTTCTATTCTGATCATCTCAAAATAGATAACCAAAATTGTCATCACCATAGCCAATAAAGAAACATTTCTTGGCTTTAGGATCAAGCTTATCTCTATTATTAGAGTTTACATGCACATAAGCAACAAGGCCAAAAAGAAATTAGATGTGAGAGAGTTACCTCCTTTCCTGTTCATACCTCCTTATGAATTTCAAAATTCAGCAGTACAAAGGGTCCCCTGTTTATGAGGTAAGCTATCGTGTTAATAGCCTAGGCCCAAAAATACTTCGGCAATCCAGAATGGTTTCTCATACTTCAGGCTCGTTCATTCAGAGTTTTGTTCATCCTCTCAGCAACGATATTTTGTTCCGGTGTTCCAGAAACTGTCTTGATCATTCTGATCCCATTCTCATAGCAGAATGCTTTAAACTCTTGATTATCATACTCTCCTCCATTGTCAGACCTCATACATTTTAACTTTAGACTTGTCTGATTTTCAACTTCAGCTTTTCATCTTTTAAAGGTAACAAACACATCAGATTTATTTTTCAGAAAATAAACCCATAACTTTCTTGTAGAATCATCAATGAAGGTGACATAATAGCGTGAGCCTCCCAGAGAAGTAACAGGAGCTAGTCCCCACACATCTGTATGCACTAGTTCCAGCTTCTCTTTCTTTGGCGTCCTTCCCACCTTTGAGAAACTAACTCTCTTTTGTTTCCCGTAAATGCAATCTTCGCACAAACCTAATTCAACATGCTACAGGTTTGACAATTTTTCTTTGGATGCCAACAACTTCATTCCCTTCTCACTCCTATGCTCGAGCCTCCGGTGCCACAATGTTGTATCACGACCATGATCAATTGTTGCTATAGTATCTCTGTATTGCAGTTGCATACAGTGTTCTCTTCTTGAAGCCTCGTGCCACAACCAAATTTCCTTTGGTTATCTTCCACGATCTGTTACTGAATGTTGTTGTATATCCTTCACTGTCAATCTGACCCATAGATATCAGATTTTTCTTGAGGCCAAGAACATGTCGGACATTTTACAATTTTCAAAGCGTGCCTTGTGAAGTCTTTATATGAACTCCACATTTTCCGACAATGTCCAGAGGTTCGTCGTCTGCTAGATAAACTTTTCCAAATTTTCCAGTAATATAATTATGCAATAATTCTTTGCATGATGTAGAGTGAAAGGATGCACCTCGAGTCCAGAATCCAAGATTTGACTGGACCGTCTGCACAACAAATTAGTGCATCACCGACTTGTTCAGCAATTGCATTTTCTGAATTATCATCCTTGTATTGATCGTTCTTCTTCTTCTTTGGTTCTCTACACTGACTACTATAATGGCCATTTTTATCGCAATTCCAACACGTAATGTCTTTGTGATTTTTAGATTGCCCTCTTCTCCTTGACTTTGATCTGCCACGACCATGACTTTGTCCTTTTTGGCTGCTTCTCCCCCTGCTTTCGATATTAAAAGCAGATCTTGGGGAATCACTTGATTCTCTTCGGCGAATATCTTCGCTTAGAACCAAGTCTTTAATATCATCCAATTCGAGTTTGGTACTTCCCGATGAACTGCTAACTGCAGTTACTGTTGCAGACCAACTCTCCGGTAGAGATGATAGTAGAATCAACGCCCTAACTTCGTCATCGAATGCTATATTAACAAAACTCAACTGAATTAATATTACATTAAACTCATTGATATGTTCAAAAACATATCCACCTTCTGTCATCTTTAAGTTGAACAATCGACGCATCAAATAGACTTTATTTGAAGCAGATGGCTTCTCGTACATATTTGATAACTCCTTCATCAGGCTTGCAATGGTCTTCTCGTTAATGATGTTAAACGTCACATTTCGCATCTGCGTCAAATGAATCACACCAAGAGCTTGGCGATCTAATAGATCCCAATCCGCTTTGGCCATAGTCTCTGGTTTTACCTCGGTCAGAGGTAAATGTAAATGTTTCTGGTATAAATAATTCTCTATTTGCATTTTTCAGAATCTAAAATATTTGCCATTGAACTTGTCAATCTTAACCTTCCCTTCTTCTGATGCCATTTTTCACAGCTAAAAAAAAAAATTATGTGAATAGTGCATGTGAATAGTAACGATGATCAATTGTGTCGCACTATTCTTGTGAATAGTATATGCACCAATATCGTACTTTTATACCAGAATTACATTATTTGTGCTCTGATATCAGTTGTTGGGAAACGTGTCAGGATAATAGAAGGGAAAATATTTGAAAGAGAAAAGCAATAAATCGCACAAGACAAGACAAGAGAAGATTTACATGGTTCAGCAATTTTTGCCTACTCCAAGGCCACACAAAGAATAGTTATGTATTAATTGAAGAGAGAAAGAAGAAGTTAGAGGGATGATTTGCAAATGAAAAATGCATACCCCTTATATAGGCATTTGAATGCCCTGCCTACGTAAGCGCTTACATCGTAAGAATGTCGATGTAAGCGCATACATCATAAGAATGTCGATGTAGGTACTTACATCATAAGTTCATCTCTTTTTTACTTTTGTTTTCCTTTGTTTTGTCTACTTTTCTTTCTTTCACATACAACAACAGGTTTGCTACTATCAGTTAGTGTGTACGCAGACCTTACCCCTACCTTTATGGATGTAAGAAACTGTTTCCAATAGACCCTCGGCTCAGGCAAGCATAGATACCACAATAATAACAAGAAACAAGACGAGACAACACCGAAAAACCATGTAAAAGCAACATACACAACAAGATAGTAAGATGATCGGAAAAAAAAACCCACAGGTATTCAAATAAGCCTGCTACCAACCAAATGCTCATAAAAAATAAGATAAAAAATTAAATTAAATTAAATTATTTTAAATGAAGACCATCCTTTTTTGGACGAACCAAAAAAGAAAGGTTAACCTTACATAAACTAAAATGGGGAGTAAAAACTTTTAACTGAATTAGTCCCTATTCCCCTTTGGTCACACTGCAATAGCAGAGAGCTTATCATTTCCAACTAACTTTGCATCGTTTGGCTACCCATGTGTTATAGTAAGTTTGCATTCTATATTTAATGATAACATTGTTCTAAAATTAGTCTATATATAACAAATTTCCCTATATAAAGGGGTAAAAATCATATACCTCAATAAATTAAAAGTTAAATATATCGCTACTATCGCTAATTATATATAATAGATTTCATCAATTTCATGCTAGTGAAACATGTTACATAAAACTAAAGGAAAGATAAATATTTCTCAATAAGGCATGACGAATTTATCAACATACGCTACAGATTCATGGGCAGCAAAGCATTAATTTTGGAGTTCTTTTTTACCAAAAAAAAAAAAAAAGAATTTATCAACATATATAGTCATTGAAGTTAGAGTTCATACTTCATATTGGATGATCTTTTTCTTTTTTCCGGATCATATAAGATAAACACATAATAATAATAATAGTAATTGGGGAGATCAATGCCCAATAGGAAAAATTAGAATACATTACCAGATTACAATATTGGACCGTTGCTTCACAAACGCTCCAGTATTACAAATGGCAATATAACGGGGGCCAACCACCCCGCTTTTCGGGATTAAAGTTTAAACTCCTACTGTAGTATAAAATCAGTACCGCGTAGCTTCTTTCGCTACACAAAACAAAGTGCAAAATATCACTAATTAGCAGCTTCCGTATTGTTGAACCTTCTTCTCCGTTTAAGGTGAGTTTCATTAATTAACCTGAGCATTCAAGTTTTGACTTGTATTTCTGAATCTGTTGCTGCTGCACTTTATATCCATATCTCTTTTTTGTTTAGTTATATTAAGTCAGATTGTTTAAAAGCAAATGGGAGTAGCAAGGGATAAGCTATCATCATACTGGTGGTGGTTTAACAGTGACAAAAATACCACCCAAAACCGGTCGTCGTGGCTTCAATCAACTCTAGCCGGTGAGAAACTATACTCCCATCTTCTTCCTCTTATCTGTCTACAGGCTAGAAATCAGTGTCAAATTTATAACTTTTGTTGTCTATCTTTTAATTGACATGTTTTGCATGCTTCTTTGATAAACTCGATGCTCGTTAAAAAGGTAGTGAAAACTGAATAGCCTAATGAAAAATTGAATCTTTTTTTGTTTTTATATTCAACTAAGAAGAGAAAAATATTGATTATGATCAATTATAGCGCCATCATTGTGGTCCAATTACTGGTGAGAAACTTTGCTATGTTAGTTGGTCAAACTTTTATTATCTTGCTTTAATCTGTGATTAAGAACTGGTTGCCTAATTATAAGGTGGACCTATTTGGAGTCCCTTTTGGCTAAAGAGCCAATACTTTAAGAATAGTTGATGCTTGTTAGTAATGTGACAAGAAGTCAACTAGTTTTACGCTCGTTGTCAGGCTGCCGCAACCCCCTCCTTTATCCGAGTTTAGGATTGGCAATATGAGCAAGCTCACACAAGCGGAGTTGTTGTTGCTGTTGTATTCATCAGCAACACTTAAGATTGCTCGTGCCTTAGTATTATGCCAAAACTTTCTTTCTTCCTTTTTTAAGTTGCAGTAATTCATTCGTTGAACCTTGGGGATCACCATTAGCATTGAGGTCAATCACCACACTACCTCTATCATACATACGACGACATTACACGAAGCGAGGGTGCATGGTCAACACACACCTAAAGCGCCTACGTTCCGCTTGCAGCCAATACAACCACAACCTAACTTGCACGAGATTAAACAACCGAAGCTACTGGTAGTCCCGAGGAGGAAAAGAAAAAAGGGCAAACCGGTTCACGAAGTATCCCGCATTCATGTAGGGTCCGGGGAAGGACCGCACCCCAAGGGGTGTTATGTAGGCAGTCTACCCTAATGCAAGCATTAGTGGCTGATTCTACGGCTCGAACATATGACCTACAGGTCACACGGAGACAACTTTACCGTTTCTCCGAGGCTCCCCTTCCGTTGAAGTAACAGAAATATTTTAAAATACCAAGGACTAGCAAAGTTTCTGTACTTGTTTCATGAAGCCTTAACTGTATATTGTTGCAGAACTAGATGAGAAGACAGAGGCAATTCTCATGATAATTGAGGAAGATGCAGATACCTTCGCCCAAAGAGCGGAGATATATTACAAGAAGCGACCACAGCTCATTAACATGATTGAGGAAATTTATCGTGCCCATCGGTTGTTAGCTGAGGGATATGATCAAATCAAGCATACAACTGAGCCGCACATTTTGGCATCGTGGAAGTCTCCATTTCCTTTCACAAAATATCCAGAGGAGAAATTGATCAACTCTATGGAGAAAGCCTATGACAGCTATTCAGAATCCTTTGACCCTGCGTCTGAGTCTTCTGATTTATCTGAGGTAGAGGATCCTGAAAACGACGAAGAAGAAATCCAAATCCAAGTAGAGAAGGCGATACTGGAAGGTGGCCTTAGCCTTAAAACTGATGTAGTACTGAATCTGAGGGAAGAAATTGAGATACTGAAGGAACAGAGTAGAGTTCAACAAGAGCTTCTAATGCAGAAAGATGAAGAGAAAAGAGAGGCAATCAGACAGCTTTGTATAGCTTTGGATTTGCTGAGGGAGGAAAACAATAGGCTGAGGATGAGTGTAGCTACGACTTCTCCGAAAAAGGAAAACTCCATTGAGCTCAAGGCTTCAAAGAAGGGGTTCTGGAAAAGGCTCTTTAGCTGATCTCCTAAATCAGAGTCTGCAATTGTTACTAAATGCAACTGATCAAGTACTAGTAATTTAGCTAGTATATGTAGAAAGAGATACTCAAAGATTATACTTCATTTGTGTAGTATTATACCTCAGAAATTATTCTTGATATTCTTTATAGTATAGCAAAATTGTCATGTATAATAGTGTATGTCAGTTTCATTTTAATATTCTTTTGTTGGGCATATCAGCTGTGTTCATAACCCCTCAAACAGAGAACGGAAAAGCATGAATTTTGTATACAAAGTGGAGAGTCATTGTTTTATTCCCTTCTTAATTGATGCAAGAATCGTAATACAGCCTAATTAACTTTTTAATGAAAATGTCATACACCTATGACCTAACAATGAAATCTAATGTTGCAGCAAGTGATTATGTACCCTGATGAAAGAGCAAAATACCATGAATAAAATCTTTAGTACATGATAGACAAAAGAGGTGTGAAATTTTATAATCCAATAAACTATACCACAATGCAGCAGCCATTAGGACATTTACACAGCAAAGACCAGAATTGCACTAAAAAATAATGGTAGAGGAACTGCAGAGTAAACTGGCAATGACCCAGAAGGCTGAAATGGCATGAGAGATTCAGGAGCAAGCATAGCATCTGGATTTGGTGGGCTGAGACTTGAAGGTATTGTGGGTAGTGAAGAATCACTAGGAGCAAGTTCCGAGCCACCAGGGGAAGGAAACAGAGGAGTTATATCTGGAGAAAGTGCAGGAAATGGAGGTGAAGATAATGGTGGATTTGGCAGTAATGCAGGTGCAGCTGAAATAGTTGAAGCTGGCACCTTTCTTGGAGAAGTTCTATCCAAGGTAAGAGAAGAAGAAAAAGAATGGCAAACCAAGAAAATCATGAGTATAATCAAGAATGGCTTTTTGGAAGTGAAAGCCATTAATGATAGTGAAATGAATGGACACCCTTTTGCCTATTCTTGGCACAGAAATAGTAAAGGTATTATCTTTGGTGGAAAGAATGACAGAGTTGGTATTATGATTGAATTGAAGGATTATCAAGAAGAATGTATTTAGGGAATGGTCTAAGAAGACAGCTTGGAATGTATTGGCAATAGGACAAGATTGGTGAATGGTTATTGTTTGTGAAATCACATGAGGATGAATAGGAACTTATGTGTCCTTTTCCTCAGTGGCCTTTTGTTGCCATTCATAGTCTATGGAATTTTCTGTGTCTGACAAACCATTTTCAAATTGCGTCTGCCACCTCCACCCAACTTCACCATCTCCATCTATTTGGATGATTTTTGTTCCACCCTTGATAGTTGATTAGTTGAGACTCTACACTTTATAGGGTAAGAAAAAGTGGAATACCTACCTCAATATATTGGACTGTGTTGAGCAAATTGTCACATCCCCTGTGCTTCTGGTATCTCGAGACTCTTTATCTTCAAAAGAAATTGACGATGTAAAATGTGATTTAGTAACTTGAAAGATATGGTAAATAAGTAAGCACGTTTAGGAATTTGGAATTTCTTGACGTATCCATGTAAGTTATAAGCAAACACGTTTAGGAATTTGGAATTTTATGTGAGTTGGAGTATGTTCTACAATGTGCAGCCAAACATGAAAAGGTTGGTACCTACTCCAGAACAGTTCGATGACCTTTTGAGCTCATAGGAATGTGATGTGGCCCACATAGGGTTAAGAAAAACGATTTTTTTTTTTTTTTGGTTTTCAACCAGGTGTCCGGTACCCACCTTGAAACCCGACTAAATCCGAATTCGCATCGGAAAGTCCCACATTGGAGGGTAAAACGCTACCTAACTAAGGCAACTCCACACCCAAGATTCGAACCTGAGACCTCTGGTTAATGATGAAGGAGTACTTATCACTCCACCACAACCCTCGTTGGTAAGAAAAACGAATTAATACACCATCTGATCTTACTCTTCATTTTTATAAAATAAAAACTATAGAGACGTTATATTCAAAATGAAACTAGTTCTGCTGCCTAATAGAACTTATACAGAAGATCCGAAAATGATTTGGAACCACCTTTTAACATGCTTCAGACCAAAGATTACTGTTTTTTTTTTTAAAGGAGAGGCCGGAGAGGAGGGAGGAGAAACTGAAAGAACAAAAAGAAAAAACAAAAGTACTAAATTAAATTGGAAGCTCCTTTATTAATTGTTACATATATTGAATTCTGTGAATGGTTAGAAAACCTCAAATCACATCTACTCTCAAAATTTCCTAAAAAGAGATGTTTACAGCCTATACCTGAAAAAATAAACCTCAGAAATGATGCATACTTTAATGTGCAGGGCCATGCACTTCCATTTCATTCAAAGGCAATGGCCACCAGCACCTTGATTTCAACTGGACAGTTCTTTTGCGTCTAACAATTGTATCATTTGCTACATAATTTGGTTATTCACTTTGCTGGCCAATCTTGTTACAAACCCAGGAGGCAGCCAAGTAAAGCACTCCTGTGTCTCTCTCAATGCAGATATTGCCTGGTCATCTGATTTCTTTCCCCTCAAGTAAACAATAGTGAGATCTTTCACTGTCAAAATAACCATCTTAGGCATGAAAACTTTAAAAGAATGGCTTGGCTTCAAGTGAGAATCAGGATCAAGCTTCATAGATTATGTGATCAAGCCCAAAGAAGACCTTCAGAGCCAAATTCCAAGTTAGAAACTGGACTATCACCAAAGTTCTGTTGATTGGTTGCTTCACTATGTTCTATGGAATCAACATATGCTCCCATAAGATCGGATGATCTTTCAGCTGGAATGCCATAGTCTTTGAGAATACTAGAAGAGGCGTCTAGGGCTGCCTCCCTTTCGAGAACGACCAAAAAATTGTCTTCAAATTCAAACACTAAATATTTGCCTTTGCAAGCTGCACGAGAAGACAAATTTGTAACTGCCCCAGTTCAAGAGAACGAGAACTTAAACTATATATACATTAACACTTACAATCCACTAGATGAGCCAAGTGGTGAATGTTTTTAATTCTGGTGCCATTCAACTTCAAGACCTGCCAATAAACTAAAAATTAAGACTTCATTGAAGAAGCATACAACAACAACGACTATGTCTCATTCCAAAGCTAGTTGGGGTCAGCATATGAATCCACTTCATTGAAGAAGCATACGTGACTAATTTGAAATTTGATGTTCACACCAATTACAATTCAACTGGTAGGATTGTAACATAAAAGTACATGAGTAACTTGCCTGATCATTGCTCATATCCTCATACCCGATATTTACTTCATTCGCCAAGACCTACAAGCAAAATAAACCATTGAAATATAGAATTATTTTACGTAACTCAGCATCATCTAGAGGTGACAAAATGGGTAAGCAAGTGATAAAGTAGACTCGAACACCAAGGGTGATAAAATGGCAGGCTAAAACCCATTTAACCTTAAATCATCACCCTTAGGTTATGTCCCCTGTTCCTGTTCCCCCACCATGGCCCAGGGATGGGTATGTCCTACTTTCATGTCCAGTAATGAACAAGAGAAAGGATATACTAGTCACTATATCCGCAGATCAATTTACAAAGGCCAAAACTTACTCCATACATACCTGGGATAGTACAACAATCTGCTGCCCTTCGAACTTTGCCAAAGAGTATCGAGCCTTGGTCAATAGTTTCAGCTAATAAAATTAAAAGAAAACAATCAAGACAACAAAGTATTTCTAATCATTGACTTATCAAAACAAAGAAACAAAAAAGAAAAATAAAATAGTTCTAATTATTGTGAGCAATCTTCGTTTTGTCAAGACTCACCCCAATGCTATCTTCTTCTTCCCTGCCAAATAAAATATGAGAGTTTTGTTATCAGAGAGAGAACTCTTATACTAATACGTACTTGAAAACTAGCAGTTTGGTAGCTCCATATAACAATACAAAGAATTCTAACAATTCTTACTCTATTAGTGGTTCGGATAGTGGTGTAAACACCAAGCCTGCAACTATTAGGTATGAAGGCTGACCACCTTCTATATGATAAGGAACCTTCAGATGAGAGCAAACATATCTAAATAAATTAAACTGAGATTCAAGTGATGGGTCACCAAAAAGACCGAGGGTCAGCTAACATTTCTTTTATACCAAATGCACGCGCGGCTTCAGAACTGCTTGAACCTTCATGAATTCTCCTGCTCTTATAATACCAAGCTCAACTGAATCACCACTGAATCTGAAAAGGAAACAACAGTTTTGTAAGATATACAGTAGCAAGTGCATACTTAATAAATCGACACGCAGGACCAACATTGATATAGAAGATTGGGAAATTCTGGAGTTTGATATCAAGGATTCAGTGAAATATTGGCATTAGGCTGATATCCATTTCAAGGTCATCAAGGAAATAGAAATGGATCCACCAGGAGAAAAAACAAAAAAGACTATTCAACCTTCACAGTATAAAAAATGATAAGCATTCCCTGCTAGCTTTGGCAGATTTAATTTAAGGGCAGAAACTTATGTGGAAAAGACAAAGGGGGAAGTGGTGTCCTGAAAATTGGTAATCATTACATGAACTAACCAGTCTCAGAGGTTGCCATTCAAACTGAACATTACGTGCATAATGTTTGTCAAACGTAATATGTAATAAATAAATAAAAAAGATGTTTGTCAAACATACTAATGTCTTTAAATGCAAATTTAACTTCTTTGCAAGTAACTGAACTTTACTTTTGACTAATGAGATAGCGAAAAGCTATACGTTCACTTGATCGAAACGGCACTGTTCCTTCAGACCCAACACGAACACCATCAAAGCTAACAATGACGTCGCCCTGAAAAATGTACCAAGTATCATTTGACTTAGTGACATTACCAAAATAACATGCCAGTGAAACAATTAAATCCATAAGAAATTTCCTAGTAACTTAACACCGTAAGAATGGAAAAAATCAAGAAAATCAAATAGACAGGTGACATGAATACAGATACCGACAGAATATCCATGTCACCGCACTCATTTCATACCTTAAAGCTTCGTGTCTTGAGATCACTTGAGTTCCAGCACCACATCGATGGTGCATGTTACTCAATGTTGTGAAAATAGCAATTAATGAAAAGAATGTACAAACTATGACTTGATTCCCTTGTCCATATTCAATCAATCAATTACACCTAAATCTCAAACCAATTCAGTTTGGCGATATGAATCTTCCATATTCATTATGCTCTATTAAGGAACACGTCCTTAGTGGATATTGGTTTCAGAAAAAGTTATCTGCTTTAAGGGAAGTAGGACGTCAA